AGAGGGGCCAGAGCCTGGCCACTCAAACAGTAATCACAGACTGCCTATGCCTGTGCCCTCCAGGAGTTTGGGGTGCAAGCAAAACACGGACTCGAACTGTGGTACCAACAGCTCTTGGGGCGCCTGCTCACTCGGCACAGGGAATGCACAGGGAGGGCTCACATGTGAACCCCAGTAAGTGCAGTTCATGGGCTGTCTGAGTAAGGAGCTCTTGCCTGCCAGGGGTGCAAGGAGGGCAGAGACTCAGAATGTAATGGCCACAGGGACCTGAGTCACCCGCTCTGCCCCCAGGAAGTAGATGGGAAATACTTGGCCCTCTCTGCAGCTTTCACCTGGGAACTGTGGGGGCAAGGGGGTCACAGCCTGCCTGGTTCTGCCACTTAGTCAGTTCAGAACTTGCCCAGGAGCCAGACCCAGGCCGCTCAAACAGCAATCACAGACTGCCCATGCCTGCAACTCCCCAGGGGGTCGGGGTGCAAGTAAAGCTCAGACTCGAACCGTGGTACCATCAGCTCATGGGGTGGCAGATCACTACCTTAAATTTTTTATAAATAAGCTTAATTTTAACTATTCCACTTACGTATTTAATGAGATAAAACCATTTCCTTATGAGCCAGTTGAAAGATAAAAAGAGAAGTCTCTGTTTTACTAGAGTTCTTGTAGGACAGGAAAAGCCATTCTATATATTGCTTTTATCTAGTTTAAATTTAATGATACTGAAAAATACTGGTGTTGCCCTAAAAATATTTCACATTTTATTAAGAATAATTAATCTTTCAACTGGGCTTAGTGCATGCAACCTTATTTCTCAGTACATGTAATGTGATCAAGCAAATTAATACAATGCCTAGGAGGAATGCAAATGGAAGTAGTTTAGAGAATGGGAGAATGTTGCACAAAATTTTATTTTAATATAGACTTACAACTAGAATCATAGATGATAGGCATAGCATTACTCTGTTCTCTCAGTGCTTTTTAAAAATGAGTTGAGCAGAACTCTGGTTCTTGAGAATTGTCTGTAGAATAGTAAGGTGTTGGGAGGGCAGAGCTCCAAGTCCCTGCCTGGTAAAGCTACACATTTCTACTTTATCCACTGAGTTCACTCATCAACAAAAAGGTATCTGTGGCCATGTCTTATTGTAACAAATGCAACATATTAAGTCTCTTTGAGATATTTGTTTGAATTAGTAAAGAAAAGGACTTAAATTGATTTAAAAGGCTTAATAATAGTTTTGAAAGTGATCATCAGAAGAGAGATAAACGAAAAAAAGAGCCAAGGTTGAGAAAATTACAATTTGCATTT